AATACATCTAACATTAGTCTTAAAAATCTCGTCAAAGGTTTCGATGTATTTTTGATCATTTAATTGGACAGTAGTTCCGATACCGGCGTTATTGACCAGAATATCAATTTTGCCGAACTCTTTGATAATCTTCGCCACTAATTGCTCGATATCTTTGTCCACCAATAAGTCAGCTCTCATTCCAAGCGCTCTCTGATTGTCCCGATTCTGGCATTTGTTGACCACTTCTTGGATCCGTTTCTCATTCCTTCCAGTGATGACTACATTCGCGCCCAAAGACCACAACTTTATGGCTATAGCGGCGCCGATACCAGAAGAAGAACCTAGAATTTATTTATAATTAACATGCAGTATATTAATAAATAATATTAATTTGACCATAATGTTATTTTATACCTGTAATCAAAGCTACCTTTCCTATCATTCTGTTGTTAAATTAAAAACTACAATTTTGTAATTATTATTATAGATAAGTAAAAGATCTTAAACAGTATTAAAACAGTTAATTTAAGTCATTTTTTGCAAATATAAAAATTTAATATTCAATGCCATCTAATCATGCATTTTTCCAGTTTTTCCAGTTTATAAATGACATTGATTAAAGGTGCATAAATTATTATGTATTATACACATACACTAAACTTATAAATTGAACAAGGAAAATTAATTTTATAATATTCATTTAGTGTTAATCTGTCCATAATGAATAGTTTTATTTTATTTATTTCGATTGAATAATTATGCAATTAATTAATTTTATAGAGAATATATTATAAATCATAATTAATGATAACACATGTCAACATTGAATATTTATTCTGTCAAGTAATCTAGATATGTAAATCTATTTGCTATTTTTAGTTTAAAGTTTATAGCAACAGAGTTTTATGGTTACACAATACCCCAGTATTCATACTTCTGTCATCAGTATAACAAAATCTAAGTTTGAAATCATACTTTACATAGTTAGGTTTTGAGGATTTTGCCTTGCTATTACTAACCTATTTGATTAATAATCAATGATTATATAAAATTTATATATTTTAAATTGGACAAATGCAAGAGGGTTAACAAAATTTTGAAATAACCAAAATATTCGTCTCATAAATACATATCTTCTCCAAAAAGAATATTTTCTAAAAAGTACCTGGGTCAAGAATAATAAAGGAAATACATTGGAATATAGTTCTGCTTTTGTCTGTATAGCAATCGTATTAATAATACCACGTTTTATTTATATATTGTTATTAATTTTGATTTAATAATTATGATAAATGTAAAAATTAATATAAAGTCATTTAGATACTTTTATATATTATTTTAATAATGAATTTGGTATTTCATTACAGAGTGTACGACAGCTGTACAGTAAATGTACAGTAGATATCAAACAAAAGTAACATATTTTGATTTAAAAATCATAACAATTGGTAGACAACACATTATTGGAATCCAAGAGTTGTTGTCTCAGTTGATCCCATTTATGGCACACAATCAGTCCATCCTTTTCTTCCCACTTGAATATCTCCGAAACAGTTGAATAAAAACCATTTGATATATCTATCACTGCATTCACATACGCCAGAAGTGCCGGCGTCTGAAAGTCTGGATCTAATTTGTCGGCTATAGTCCGAGACAGTGACCGACACTCTATCTGCAAGTCCTTAATGAGCTCATACTGTGAGTCGATTGCTGTCTGAATCGTGCATTTCTTGGTCCAGGCGTAGGACATCACACCTGAGGTGATGTCATTTACGGCCATTTTTGGCACAAACATCATGTAGTCATTCACTGCCAGAGATAGTCGTACGGCCGAAGTGAGCAATTTATTTACCGGTATATACCTGAGCACCGGTTCCGGTGGAGTGTAGTCCACACTAATCTCCGCCATTAAGTGAAACACAGGCCAAACTATTTTTAAATATATCTCATGTTTTAATCACTGATTATATTTATAAATTAAATTAACAATTAAAATAAATACACGCTTCTTTGCTTCTGAGTTCGTAGTACTCATCGTATGGTATGAACCGATTCTGAAGCCAATAATCGCAGTGTATTTTCGCAGTTGATTCAAACGTTTCCTTCAAACTATCCCTCATTTTTGTTTTTTGATCTCTAGTCATAAACACATCCAACGCTTCCAAAGAGTCCAACAATCGGCGGCCTATTGTTTATTTTCAATATAATGATTATATCATATAAACACAACTTATAACAATTATAATAACATATTTATGTAAAAATGTATGTAAAACAGATACAAACCCAATAAAAACTTTGGATCTGAACGTCCGGTCAATAATGTGGTCAACAGTTTCTCAATGAGTTCTACCATAAGAGGCGCCGATCGTTCTTTACGAGACGGTTCCGTGTATTCATCGATAGTTTTGGTAAAACAGCCCCATTTAGTCATCGCTAACAACCTGTCCTTCTGTTGGCACCCGCTATACATATAACACATAAACTTAGCGCACATTTCCATATCCTGTTGGTTATGATCGGCGAACCCTTTGGACCACTGAATCAATTCATTTAACAGCCATTTGTGGTGAGAATTGAAATCCGGTTTTTGGCAAAACAGTGGTTTGATCTTCAGTGACCCGAACTCTTCCTTATTCTTCAGCAGCGATAGTGTTGTCATTGCTTTTATTTAACTTTAACTAAAAATTTTAATTAATTATAAATTTTAATTATTTATAAATTTAATTATTAATTTTTATTAATTAAAAATCAGTGTATATATTAACAGAGAGCAAAAATTAAATCTGAGTGAACACAGCTTTAACTTTTATGTTGTAATTTATACACTTTTTACATTTATTCATACAAAACGTTAACAAATATAGTTATAGATCAAACACCACCTAATATTGTATCAAAAATACCCCCTCATTATACCCAATCACTCTCACTTTATATGTACATATAATATTAATTACAAATAATACATATAATTATGGTGAACATTACCACTATATCAATCATAAAAACATGTTAGTGAATTTATAACGAAATATGGTCAAATATAATACGCACTTTAAATTAGTTTAATTTGTGTATTATTTTATGATTTGTATATTAATTTTGTATATTATTTAATTAGTTTAATATTATTTTATCTAATTACATACCGTGAGTTGTATTAAACTAAAATATCTTTTTAAATAAATAAATGAAAATTAATTTTTACAAAATTTGTTATTAATCCGTTTTTAATATGTTATTATTTTATTTTTATATAAATTTAAAATTTAAATTAAAAATTAAAATCATAAGTCGGATTTTAATTAACGTTATTTTTTATTTTTGAAATTTACATTATTTTTACATTAAGTTTTAATATTTCCATAATCATTGAGTGACAATTTAATAATCTTATGTTTATTTTAATGTAATGTAAACTTTACCAAAGTATCCAATTTTAAGCATAATCTTTAGTTGTTAAGTATCATTAAATAAACAGTTCTTATCTAATATTAGTATATAACAGTAACTAGCAATTTGCATATACAATAGGTTAGGTATATAAATATAATATTTTAATTGTGAACAGCTTTTAAGATTTTTGGAAAAGGTACCTAAAATAGTTATTATGATTGTCATGTTCATAAAATTTATTTGTTAAAATAGTAATTTGTTAATAAAATTAAATAATAATTCAATACATTTTTTCTGCTAAAATAGACAATATTTTATTCAAACACAACAACATTGAAACAAATGATCACAAATACAGCGACACATGTTATATTTGATTTGGGCGGCACTTTAGTCGACTCATTTGACGGTATTGTATGGGCTCTGGACAAAACTGCTCGGCGTTATGGTAAACGATACATTTGTAATGATAGAGGTAAATATTGTTTAACAAATCCCTTGGTGAAATTTAACCATGATCATTTCACCCGTAGGTTTATTTGCAGAGATAAAAAATATGCCAAAGTTTATGGCAGAAGTATGCGTTTCATTGGATCTAAAGATACCGTCGGCTGAGTTTGTGGATATGGTTTATAAGGAGTTGGACAGTAAACCGGCTCAACTGATTCCGGGTGTCGATCGACTCGTAAAACATCTCTATAAACACAACATTCCGATGGCTATCGCCACTAATGGGTCGATGAAACTGATTGCTTCAGGTTTAGCACATTTAATGCCATATTTCAATGAGTATATGTCACATATGGTCTGCGGTGAAGACGATCCCGATGTTAAGCATAATAAACCGGCGCCCGATATATATAATGCTTGCCTCAAACGGTTTGCATCGCCGCCGGAATCGCTAAATAATTGTGTAATATTTGAGGACTCGTTGACCGGTATAACCGGTGCCGTGGCTTCGGGTATGAGTACAGTCTTTATCAATGATATCATTGATAGTAGATTTGATGAAATTGTAGGTAAAGTAACAGCAATTACCAGAAATTTAGTTGAGTTTAAACCCGAATCCGTTGGACTTCCGGCTTATGATTGACTGAAATTTTGTCTAAATTTATATTTCAATATACTTAATATATTGTTAAGTATCTATGGTAGTATTTAGTTAAATATTTATAATAATTGCTTAAACTGTTATTATAAGTAGAATTATTTTATACTCGTGTAATTATTATTTAACTTGTAATTCATTTAACTTTTGCTGAAATAAATAAATCAATATTGAATTAAAAATATAGTTTTAATATACTATAAATTGTTGTCAAGAGAATTGTTCTCATAAAAATTTAATTTTTAATCATAAGTGTTTTGTACTCAAAAGCATTGTTAATTGACAAATGTAAGTGCTTAATAAATTAACATTTGCATCTCAATTTAATAATACCAGCATGATATTTTTAGTTTAATTTGTTTGATTTTACAATAAAATACAGTACCATTATTTGAAATGTCAATTAAAATATAATTTAAATTTTGTTAGTTTAAAAAAATACAATCTATTGTTATTTGTGTGCATAAATAGATTTACAAATATAATTTAGATAATATATCTCAATTATGATCCTTAAGGAAATATAATCATTTTACTGGTAGAGTATTGATATATAATTGTGATATTTCATTATCGCATTATTGGCTCAATTTGATTACAACAAAACTTTTGTAAATTCAAATTTAACTTATCATTAATTTATTATTTGAAAAACTGTTTATCAATAAAACACAGTGCAAACATTGCTTAATAAATTCACTAACTTGAGTTAATTATTACAGTACAGTACAGTAGAGCATTTATAAACTATAAGTACATTTTTCTAGTCATTTACCTAATAATTTCGTACATTATTATTATTACAATTAGTATTATTACAATAAAACCATTTCAAATGAGTTTTAAGACATTTATACAATTTGTGTCTATCTTAAGAGTGGAGCCATACATGATATTAATGACATTCAGTGCTTTCTTCCGGAAGACACCACTGGAAGTGCTAATTCAGGACAAATTATGCACAAATAGGTATAATATGAGTGACGAGTTTTGCTATTATTTACCGTATATTACGGCCAACGACGCCAACCACGAGATAAAAACAGCGATACTGTCGGATGCGGTCACCTATAATATGTATCACACGTGGATCACAATGGCTCCGGGCATTGTGTGGTCACTATTTCTCGGCCCATGGATTGACAAATACATTAGCGGCCGAAAAGTCATTTTCATTGTGGGCTCAATCACTCAGACACTGGAAGCGGCCATAAATACATTGAATTCGTATTATTTCGATAGCAGTAAGAATTTTAGTACAACTTTTCAAGTGTTTTATCAGTTGTTTTGCAATTAGTAATGAAAAAATAATAATGTTTAAAATAAATCATTAGATGTGAACTGGATTTTGGTTTCGTTTATACCGTACACACTGTCCGGCTCTATGGTTAGGGTAACCGCCTATTCATATATAGCGGCCACCACTCCAACCAAACTCAGGACTATCCGTATGACCATATTTGAAGTGCTCAACGCTTTCGGTATATCATCCACTTATTTAATACCGTTTATTACAATCCTTATTATGTTTTACTAAATGTATATTTATTGTAACAGCTGTTCCGTTGGGTGTGTTTATATCGGGTAAACTAATAAATGGGACTCCAGTGGGAGGTAACGGACAGTTACACAACACCGGACTTATATTCTTCATCAGCAGTTGTATCGCATTTCTAGCATTCATTTGGTCTGTATTTGCGATTAATCAACAAAAGGATAAACAAATGTTTGATAAGTATTTTAGTGAACGTCTGGATATTTTAGATAAAACAGTAGAAAACGATAACAACGATAGTAATAATAATAATAACTATACAAATAGCAAAAATAGTGAAAGTAATAGAAATACTAATAACACTAAAGAGTTAGAAAACAATGAAAGAGAAAGCATTCATCCGTTAAGACTATTGTTTGACATTAAAAATGCCAAAGAAATTGTGATGACATGTGCGCGCCATCGGGCTAATTATGTGAGGGCACAAATCTGGCTCATTATTATGGCCATGTTTTGCGGCTACTTCATAGCGGCAGCACCAGGAGCATTTTTCTTCCAGTTCATCGAGAAGATTTACTACTGGGATGCGTCCACTTTTACACAGTTTGCCGCAATGGGAATGATTGTCAATTCAGTGATCATTATATTCCTGACACCACTCTTGATAAAAGTAACTATATTTTTATACATTACTGTAACCAAAGTTTGTATACAAACTAATTGTTATATAATAATCATTACAAAACTCAATATCGGCCACACTTTGATTGGTTTAGGTGTTGAAACTCAATGAAATGTATTTAGCGATCATTGGATTTTGCGGTGCAATGTTGCATATGTTAGCGTTGGGCGCCATTTTGTCGCCCGTCGGTTACCTGTTAGGCATTGTGACGGGCACTACAGCCCCGTTGGGGTCCATCGGCTTCAAGACCCACCTGTCCAACATTGTGGAGCCGTCAGAATTGGGCAAAGTATTCACTCTTATGGGTGTTGTCGACGGTTTTGCACCACTAATAGCGGCCGCGATCTTCACTGTTGTGTTTGAGGAGACAATCGACTCTTCAGTTCCCGGAACCTGTTTTCTCATATTAGCCGCTATTTGTGTCGTACCAATACTTATAGCTCTTGTTATCGATTATATTATTACTTTTAAAGTAAAAATAAGTTATTTGCAAAATACTCAAAATAACGAAGGTATTTATGAGGCCATATGATTGCAGCCAATAATCCATTATTAATGTACTTTATTACTCGTATTAGCGTTAATAATAAGGTGTATTAATACAGTATTACAAAATAATTTATTACTGGTTTTCTATAAAATCTCATCTAATATTAGTATTGGATATTAAACTAAATTAATATTTAACAATACTTCAAATCTATTGTATTATAATATAATTAAGCTATTATTGAATAAAAGTATTGATTTCGCGGAAAAGAAATAAAGAAAATATTATTATTAACTAAATCAAAAAGTATAATAAGTATTTTATTATGTTATAAAAATTCTTAATTTATATTGTAATAATAATGAATTTGTTGCCGATTCTCACGTAAATTATACATGGATTTGAATCTAAAGTTAAACTATCCATTGGTCACCAACTACTACAAGGATTATTGTGAGGGCTTTTAAGCTAAAGCCTGGGATAAAAAGAAATGAACGATTTATTAAATTATGTATGTTATCATTTTGTTTTAAAATATAAAAGTAAATCAATAAAAAATAAGTTATAAATTTTTGTAAAAACAAATTTGTTAAAAAATTAGTAAAATATTAACTGAATTGGTACTGAAAAATATGCAATAGTCTTAATAATAAAAATAAATTTTGCTCTAATAATTTGGTTACAATTTAGTGCAAATTAAATGAATTACAAAGTGATAAAAATTAAATAACCAATTAATACACTTATAGTGCATATAGTACTCTATAGTACTCTAAAAATACTTTCGGACAAAAATAATCATTTTTATTGATAACCCATTGAGATATGAAAACAATTTTCAATAAAAGTCAAATGTTCTTCAATAGACATTTTTAATTGTTTTCTAATAGTTGTGTTAAATCACAGCTCATAAAATTGCAAAAATGTTAAGCTCAGTGATTAAACTTTGCTTTTTAGTAGTTTTTGCTAATTTATTAAATAAAATCAATTGCGTGTCAATCACTTACGCCCCGACTGTTAACACAACGGCCGGTAAAGTAAGGGGTATTGTGAAGGACTTGGATGACGGCACCCAACTATACCTATACGATGGAATTCCTTATGGTATTTCAATTACTTATAACAATTATCTATTTCATTTATAAATAGTGCATTAATACCAATTAACAGGTGAAGCCCCTGTGGGTCATTTGCGTTTTTCAAAGCCCGTCCCAAAGTCTAGTTGGATGGGAGTATACGATGCCGTTAAATATCGTTACTCGTGCATTCAGCCTGATAAATTAGAGCCCGATAACAACATTCCCGAAGAGTCGTATCACAGCGAAGACTGTCTATTCCTGAGCGTATGGGCGCCTAAGGACTCCCTCCCGGACGGCAAGAAGAGAGCCGTATTGTATTGGATATACGGAGGAGGCTTTGAAACCGGAACCATATTCTCGTTGGCCAATGATGTGAGATATTTGGCGGCTTTGGGTGATGTGATTGTAGTGACAGTGAACTACCGGTTAGGCCCCTGGGGTTTCATGTATGCCGGCACCGAAGACGCATCTGGCAATATGGGTCTATACGACCAATTGCTTGGACTTAAATGGGTTAACAATAATATCGATAGGTTTGGCGGCGATCCCAAGTCTATAACAATTTTTGGTGAATCTGCAGGTAATTCAATACAATTTCTAGTCATTAAATTCAAGTATTATTTCTCAGAAAATTATATTTGATTTAATATTTGAAGTGTTGATAAGAAAGTACTACAAAATCAGTTCAAATGTTATCAATCAATAACACTAATTAATGTAAAATACCTCTACTGTTATTCAGGTGGTATGTCTGTCGGAGCCCACGTGTTATCACCCCTTTCCCGGGGTTTGTATAGGCGGGCAGTCCTACAATCGGGTGCTGTCAACTCATACCTGGGCAGTGAAACTAAGGAGAAAAGCTATGTCAAGACCCTGTATTTGGCTGAGAAGTTGAACTGCAGCACAGCCTCGGGCGCAGACATTGTCGCCTGTCTTAAGCTTAAGACAACTGAACAGATTTTGAACGTCTCGAAGACCGCCCGAAAGGATAAAAAGAGTTTTGAGGCTTTGAAACCGGAACCATATTCTCGTTGGCCAATGATGTGAGATATTTGGCGGCTTTGGGTGATGTGATTGTAGTGACAGTGAACTACCGGTTAGGCCCCTGGGGTTTCATGTATGCCGGCACCGAAGACGCGTCTGGAAATATGGGTCTATACGACCAATTGCTTGGACTTAAATGGGTTAACAATAATATCGATAGGTTTGGCGGCGATCCCAAGTCTATAACAATTTTTGGTGAATCTGCAGGTAATTCAATACAATTGCTAGACATTAAATTCAAGTATTATTTCTCAGAAAATTATATTTGATTTAATATTTGAAGTGTTGATAAGAAAGTAGTACAAATCAGTTCAAATGTTATCAATCAAGAACACTAATTAATGTAAAATACCTCTACTGTTATTCAGGTGGTATGTCTGTCGGAGCCCACGTCTTATCACCCCTTTCCCGGGGTTTGTATAGGCGGGCAGTCCTACAATCGGGTGCTGTCAACTCATACCTGGGCAGTGAAACTAAAGAGCAAAGCTATGTCAAGACCTACATAAACCGACTCTTCAACTTGACGTCGTGTCGGAGCCCGCGTCTGTAACAGCGGACAGAATTCGAATTCTGTTGACTTGTCTAAAACTTGCAGAGCTTCTGGCGGGCTTTCCTATTTTTCTCAAATCAGCCCATTTGGGACGAAGAACTGATTCCAATTGATCCTAAACTCGCTCTAATAAACGGTGACTTTAATCAAGAAATAGATCTCATGTTTGGCACAGTTAGCCAAGAGGGGGCTCTCTTTGTGGAGGACCTGTTCCGCGACAAACTTAACCCCGATATTGTTAAGCCGCCCATAAATGTTACCATCGCTTCCCAGTTGATTGGCTTCTTATATATGGTGTTTGGGGAGACATATGGCAAACAAGTGGCAGATTTCTACCTCAAAGGAGTCAAAGACACCGATTACGACAAATTAAGACAAGCGGTTGGCTATGGTTTTGGTGATTATGTTATCGCTTGTCCCACAATTATATTTGGCGAACAATTTGCAAAACACAGCAAAAACAATAAAGTGTACGCTTTCCGCATGACATTTCCGCCGGCCATACCGGTGTTCCCGGAGTGTCGGGGATGGATGGGTGTCTGTCACGGCGATGATGTGCTCATGTTATTTGGTTTCCCACTTAAACTCAGAGGCATTACGTTTACCGAAAACGACGCCAAACTAAGTCTGGATATGATTAAGACGTGGTCAACGTTTGCGCGAACCGGGTATTTAGAAATACTCACTAAAACAACATTTTTAATAATTAATTATAATTTTATTTTGCATTTATGTTTCAGATCTCCGCCACAATTGGGTGCCGACAAATGGGAGGAAGCGATTGACAGAAGTGTCGCCGATTCGTACGTAAAATACATGGATTTGAATCCTAAGACCAACTATCCGTTGGTATCTATTTATGTTTCAGATCTCCGCCACAATTGGGTGCCGACAAATGGGAGGAAGCGATTGACAGAAGTGTCGCCGATTCGTACGTAAAATACATGGATTTGAATCCTAAGACCAACTATCCGTTGGTATCTGACGGATATAAAGAGTCGTGCGAAGGATTTTGGGCCAAAACTTGGGGCTATAAAAAGTAAACGATAAATTAAATCACATATTTAGTGATGGAGTTAGAAAATAAACTTATTGTTAAATATAATTATTTTAAATTTAAATTGTAAAGTTATCAATAATTTTTGTAACTTCTCAATTGAATAATAATTAAAATTACTTGCAATAAAAACTGTATAATTTATGTTTACAATTATTCAATGCTTAAAATTCTGTACTAATTAACAAAATTTTAATACATTTTGTAACTATAATACAGTAATCCAAATGTACTGAAAAATACTTTAATAATTATTAATTATGTTCTTTAATTAAATAAATCTTTTATTGATAACCCATTGAGATATGAAAACACTTTCCAATAAAAGTCAAATGCCATTCAATATATTTTTATTGTTTTCTAATTGTTTTATCGATTCACTGCTTAAATAATTGTAACGATGTTAAACTTATCGATAAAACTCTACTTCTTAGTAGTTTTATAATTAAATAAATTACTTTAATTAAGCCTTGGTTAGTGAATGCGGGGTTAACAATTGTGTTGGCGGCCATTTCATTCCCCATAACACTTCCTGAACCTACTGCCGTGGGTTAAGATGGAGATACTTGGCATTCCTTATGGTATTGTAACTATTTTTATAAAAATTAAAACATTTTGCTGAATTATAAAGCAATATCAATATTAATACATAGCTGAACCCCCTCTGGGAAACCTTCGCTTCTCAAAGCCCGTCCCAAAGTCTAGTTGGACGGGAGTATACGATGCCGTCAAATACCGCAACACATGTATACAACCCGACAATTTACAGCCCGATAACAACATTCCCGAAGAGTCGTATCACAGCGAAGACTGTCTATTTTTGAGCGTATGGGCGCCTAAGGACCCCCTCCCCGATGGCATCTTCTCTAGCCACAACATGACCAAGATACCGCCTCCGAAACTTTGGCCCTGGTATAAAAGACAACGTTTACTACACTCTATAAATCGGCAAAATCCCCTACACTAACATCACTGTCACTTGATGGCCTTAGGCCCCTGGGGTTTCATGTATGCCGGCACCGAAGACGCGGCAGGAAATATGGGTCTTTACGACCAATTGCTTGGACTTAAATGGGTTAATAAGAATATCGATAGGTTTGGCGGCGATCCCAAGTCTATAACCATTTTTGGTGAATCTGCAGGTAATGCACAAAAAATCCTTTTTTCATAAATTCAAGTATTTATTTTTGATAAGTTTGTGAGATATCAGGAAAATACAGATTTAATTGTTTTAAGTACTGATAAGAAGTGAAACAAAATCACTTTCAATGCTATCACACATTTTACTGACCTATAACTAATTGATATGAATCCTGTACTGTTACTGTTGCTCAGGTGGTATGTCTGTCGGAGCCCATGTCTTATCACCCCTTTCCCATGGTTTGTATAGAAGGGCTATTATGCAATCGGGTTCTCCCAACTCATACCTGGGCAGTGAATCCAAAGAGAAAGGCTACGCAAAGACACTTCATTTAGCCACAAAACTCAACTGCAGCACCGCCTCGGGTGCGGACATTGTCGCCTGTCTTAAGCTCAAGACAACTGAACAGATTTTAAACATTTCAAAAATCGCACGATTAGATTCGGCCACTTTTGAGCCCATTTGGGGCGAAGAACTGATGCCAATTGATCCGAAACTCGCGCTACAAAACGGAGACTTTAATAAAGAAATAGATCTCATGTTTGGCACAGTTAGCGAAGAGGGGGCCCTCTTTGTGGAGGCCCTGTTCCGCGACAAACTAAACCCCGATATAGTGAACCCGCCTATTAATGTAACCATATCTCATCAAATCATTCAGTTTATGTATATGGCGTTCAAGGAGTCGATGCAAATGGGAGGAGTTGTCGCCGATTTCTACCTTAAAGGACTCAAAGACAACGATTTTGACAAATTGAGACAAGCGATCGGTTATGGGTTCGGCGATTATCATCTCACGTGTCCCACTGTGCTGTTTGGCCAGGAGTTTGCCAGACACAGCACCGGCAATAAAGTGTACGCTTTTCGTCAGACATTCCCGCCGGCGATACCGGTGTTCCCGGAGTGTCGGGGATGGATGGGTGTCTGTCACGGCGACGATGTCATGATGTTATTTGGTTTCCCACTTAAACTCAAAGGCATTACTTTTACCGACAATGACGTTAAACTGAGTTTGGATATGATTAAGACGTGGTCAACGTTTGCGCGCACCGGGTATTTATAAACACATAGACTAAACTCTATTTACATGATAATTAATAAATGGTGTTTTTTTAATATACGAATCAGATCTCCGCCACAATTAGGTGCCGACAAATGGGAGGAAGCGGTTGATAGAAAAGTTGCTGACTCTCACGTAAAGTACATGGATTTGAATCCAAAGTCAAACTATCCGTTGGTCACCGATTACTATAAGGAGTCGTGCGAAGACTTTTGGGCCAAAACTTGGGGTTACAAGAAATGAGAGACCAATGAATTCAGCGGTTTATTAAATTTGCAAAATATTATTCAATTAAATTAATTGTGAATTATTTATTTTGCAAAATATAAATAAATATGTATTAAACTTAAAATTTTGTTCAAAACAACACAATAATAATCAATATAAAAACACATCTAAGCGGCGGCCGCTTCTGTTGCGGGCTCTGCGGCGGCTTCAGCAGCGGGTGCGTCAGTAGCAGCGGCTGGTTCTGCAGCAGCGGGCGGATCAGCTCCAACGGGTGGAGCGTCAGCGGCAGCTGCGGGTGGACTCGCATTAGCGTCGGCCGCGGCGGCCGGTGGCGCGGCCGACACCGCGGCTCCGATCTCCAAACTGCCATCGGGTGCGGGCGTGCCTTCAGTGCCAACAGTGAAACCCTCGGCCGCGGGCGACAGCGGCGATGGTGTCTTCGCTGTCACTTTTACCTCTTTTCCCTCTTCATTATAGGCGTCGATGGCTTCCATGACGTCAATGGCTTCCAATTCCTTCATTTTCATGGGAATCATTAGCTTGAAATTGGATGACGCGTTTTGCATCTCATAGAACTTGTCTTTCACCCAAAAAAACTTGTCGTCGATTAATAGGGAACAGAAGTCTTCGGTGTGCGGATTGGGATCCGTTACGCACATCTGCGGACACTCTTCATAGAGGATACCCTTTTTGTGTGTGGGGTCGCAGTAGTAGAGGAAGTGTGCGTTACAGTCTTTGGCGCCGCAGTTGTGCAGTTTGGCGCCGCACCGCAAACCCTCGCCATCGCAACACTCGCAGTACTGGTGTTTGGTCTCGTGTTTGGCGTCGGCCCCGGCCTCAGCGCCACCGCCCGCAGTCTCCGCCACGGCTTCAGCCTTGTCTGCCGCCGCCTCACCCGCAGGCGCTTTAGCGGCCGCTTGAAGTGTATTATCGTCGTCTCTTTCCATAGTATCCACGCCTCCGTCCCCTCTTCCTCCCTCAACGTCTGATATTATGTGGAAATGAGCGGTGAATATAATGAACAAAACAAAGTGATGTATTTTAATTTTAGACATGTTCAGCATTACAAACATGGATTCACTAAAAATTAGTTAATTATTTTTGCCCATATGCTCATATAATTTAATACAACGTTTATGTTGTGATCATTTGTTTTAAAATTAATTGATTTCAATACTTACGATATTTATTGAACTATTATTTTTTCGTTGACTTTTATTAAAATGTTTTTCTTTGATAATAATTTTATCTAAAAAATAAAATCTGTTAATCTGTTATTGGTTGTGATAAACTTGTAATTTATAATTGTTCAAATGTTAATTTTGTAATATTTGTTTTATTAACATTTATATAAATACATAAAAATAAAATCACTGTTATTTATGTAAAATATTCATTAATTTCTATAAACACTTAATTAATAAAAATATTTCTTTACATTTCAATCATTATATTAAATTCAAGTTTCAAATTTAAATATCACTTTAAATTCAATTATCATCTTCAATTTGTTTTTCGCACATCACTTTATTCACACAAAACTGTGAACACAAACCGCACCTGTATTTCAATAAATGTATTTCATCCACAACTGAGACACAAATGCCGAAAATACCTCTTCTTCTGTAATTATGTGCTGTTAATGAATATTTTATGTCATTAATTATCTTATAATTTATTTATTACAATTAAAATAAATAAAAATAATTAAAAACATACAAAATCTTGTGATCACATTTCTCTCCCGTTTTTCCTTTTCCTCCACCACTTCAGACACAGATCTGGCGATCCTTTTGTGCTTTTTGATCACTGGTTTGATGTGCTTATTATCGTTGTTAAGCCGTAGATTAGTTGTCGAGAGATTAGTTTCAATCACTTTCCCGGTTATAGCCGACGAAAGATCCAGATTTTCAAACGCCAACTGACTATTAGCTGAACTCTTGTTTGAAATGTTAAAACTTTTGCTCTCATCGCTGGCCAGTGGGGCCACACGTGACGATCGGGACATTATTTAAACTAAAATAGATTCAAACCTAACCACAAATTAGTTTACGATTAAAACTGCTTACTTTTTAAGCTACACAAAATTTCAAAACAACTCCAAAAATATATATTTTAGTATTATTTCATGTTATTTCACTCATCAATACATAAAACATATTTTTTATAACATAACAATTGAATAAAAAATAAAATAATTAAATATAATCGTGATTTTCATGAGTTAATGTAAAACATAAATAATATTATGATATAATTATTGACTTCTTTAATGATATTATTCTTCCATAGGATATATCAACGACTAAAATGGTAGACAATAGCGAACGTGTGGTAAAACACAAAAAATCATTATTTCTATAATTAACTTGATTTCTAGAAGAGATCGGTGTTGTACTGGTTCTATGGCGGAGGCTTTGAAACCGGGACCATATTTTCTGTTGCAAATGATGTGAGATATTTAGCCGTTTTAGGGGATGTGATTGTAGTGACAGTGAACTACCGGTTAGGCCCCTGGGGTTTCATGTATGCCGGCACCGAAGACGCGGCAGGAAATATGGGTCTATACGACCAATTGCTTGGACTTAAATGGGTTAATAAAAATATCGATAAGTTTGGCGGCGATCCCAAGTCTATAACAATTTTTGGTGAATCTGCAGGTAATGCACAAAAATCCTTTTTTTTTGTAAATTCAAGTATTTATTTTTGATAAGTTTGTGAGATATCAGGAAAATACAGATTTAATTGTTTTAAGTACTGATTAAAAGTGAAACAAAATCACTTTCAATGCTATCACACATTTTACTAACCTATAACTAATTGATATGAATCCTGTACTGTTACTGTTGCTCAGGTGGTATGTCTGTCGGAGCCCATGTCTTATCACCCCTTTCCCATGGTTTGTACAGAAGGGCTATTATGCAATCGGGTTCTCCCAACTCATACCTGGGCAGCGAATCCAAAGAGAAAGGTTACGCAAAGACACTTCATTTGGCCACAAAACTCAACTGCAGCACCGCCTCGGGTGCGGACATTGTCGCCTGTCTTAAGCTCAAGACAACTGATCAGATTTTAAACATCTCCAAAATCGCACGATTAGATTCGGCTACTTTTGAGCCCATTTGGGGCGAAGAACTGATGCCAATTGATCCGAAACTCGCGCTACAAAACGGCGACTTTAATAAAGAAATAGATCTCATGTTTGGCACAGTTAGCGAAGAGGGGGCCCTCTTTGTGGAGGCCCTGTTCCGCGACAAACTAAACCCCGATATAGTGAACCCACCCATTAATGTAACCATATCTCATCAGATCATTCAGTTTATGTATATGGCGTTCAAGGAGTCAATGCAAATGGGAGGAGTCGTCGCTGATTTCTACCTTAAAGGACTCAAAGATAACGATTTTGACAAATTGAGACAAGCGATCGGTTATGGGTTCGGCGATTATCATCTCACGTGTCCTACTGTGCTGTTTGGCCAGGAGTTTGCCAGACATAGCACCGGCAATAAAGTGTACGCTTTTCGTCAGACATTCCCGCCGGCGATACCGGTGTTCCCGGAGTGTCGGGGATGGATGGGTGTCTGTCACGGCGACGATGTCATGATGTTATTTGGTTTCCCACTTAAACTCAAAGGCATTACTTTCACCGACAATGACGTTAAACTGAGTTTGGATATGATTAAGACGTGGTCTACGTTTGCGCGCACCGGGTATTTATAAACACAAACTCTATTTACATGATAATTAATACATGTATATGGTGTTATTTTGAATTTACGGATCAGATCTCCACCACAATTGGGTGCCGACAAATGGGAGGAAGCGGTTGATAGAAAAGTTGCCGACTCTCACGTAAAGTACATGGATTTGAATCCAAAGTCAAACTATCCGTTGGTCACCGACTACTATAAGGAGTCGTGCGAAGACTTTTGGGCCAAAACTTGGGGTTACAAGAAATGAGAGACCAATGAATTCAGCCGTTTATTAAATTTGCAAAATAGTATTCAATTTAATTAATTGTGAATTATTTATTTTGCAAAATATAAATAAATATGTATTAAACTTAAAATTTGGTTCAAAACAACACAATAATAATAAATATAAAAACACATCTAAGCGGCGGCCGCTTCTGTTGCGGGCTCTGCGGCGGCTTCAGCAGCGGGTGCATCAGAAGCAGCGGCTGGTTCTGCAGCAGCGGGTGGTTCAGCTCCAGCGGGTGCAGCTTCAGCGGTAGCTGCGGGCGGACTCGCATTAGCGGCGGCCGGTGGCGCGGCCGACACCGCGGCTCCGATCTCCAAACTGCCATCGGGTGCGGGCGTGCCTTCAGTGCCAATAGTGAAACCCTCGGCCGCGGGCGACAGCGGCGACGGTGTCTTTGCTGTCACTTTCACCTCTTTTCCCTCTTCATTATAGGCGTCGATGGCTTCCATGACGTCAATGGCTTCCAATTCCTTCATTTTCATGGGAATCATTAACTTGAAATTGGAGGACGCGTTTTGCATCTCATAGAACTTGTCTTTCACCCAAAAAAACTTGTCGTCGATTAATATGGAACAGAAGTCTTCGGTGTGCGGATTGGGATCCGTTACGCACATCTGCGGACACTCTTCATAGAGGATACCCTTTTTGTGTGTGGGGTCGCAGTAGTAGAGGAAGTGTGGGTTACAGTCTTTGGCGCCGCAGTTGTGCAATTTGGCGCCGCACCGCAACCCCTCGCCATCGCAACACTCGCAGTACTGGTGTTTGGTCTCGTGTTTGCCGTCGGCCGACGCCTCAGCGCCACCGCCCGCAGTATTGTCTGCCACCGCTTCAGCCTTGTCTGCCGCCGCCTCACCCGCAGGCGCTTTAGCGGCCGCTTGAAGTGCACTATCGTCCTCTCCCTCATCGCCTGATATTATATCGAAATGAGCGGTGAATATAATGAACAAAACAAAGTGATGTATTTTAATTTTAGACATGTTTAGCATTACAAACATGGATTCACTAAAAATTAATTAATTATTTTTGCCCATACGTTCACATAATTTAATACAACGTTTATGTTGTGATCATTTGTTTCAAAATAAATTGATTTCAATACTTACGATATTTATTGAACTATTATTTTTTCGTTGACTTTTATTAAAATGTTTTTCTAACTATTATTAAAATAGATTTTTTATTTTAGACAATTAGACAATAACCAACACTATTTGAACATTAAATATTAACAAGTTTACAATTAAAACATTATAAACAAAATAATTGTAAATATATTTATGTAT